TGTGGGAAGTCTTTCCAGGATATTTTGGGAATGGAGCATGCAAAATAAACTGTGAGTGCCCAGTGAGGAATCTGTACTTGTTTTCTGTTTGAGTCTATGAATTCCTCCGCATTGATCAAACTCAGCTGGATTGCACTGCTCTTAATGCCTCAGACTGAACAGGGCATGATGAGATTGTCAACCCTGCAAGCCCTGCACTTTGTTTGCCCATTTTGTGGCACTTAAGTTTATTCCCTTTACTGGACTCCTTCCCCTCCTCCCGCCACCACCCAGTCAGTGAATTTTCCTTTTCTTTACCTGAAGCTTCTACATCCTACCTTTTATTTCCCTATGTCACGTCTGCTTCCCCTCATTTACTGTGTCCCCTGAAGCTTTGTGATCTGCACAAATCCTCCCATCCCCCTTCTCTGATTTGCCATTTCTGATCATTATTTTGGATCTTCTGTTCCCATCCAGCATGAAATGGTTTCTGCTGGCAGAAAGACACAGCAGCTTTACTGAATGTTCTTAGGTTGCCTGAGATTGCTTGATAACAAAGAAATTGTGATTTCTAATAGGTAATGCTTTCAGATCTTAAGTCTGGAACAGTCATAGGGCAGAAAACTCCTTCCTAAAGGCATATTCCCTTATATTTATTACTAGCCTGAAACACCATCTTTCTGAGGTACCAATGAACCTTAACAACAATCTCAGTGTAATTTGGTGCTGTATTCCTTAAACATTTAAAAAAAATAAGGGTTGGTTTTTTTTTTTTCATTTAGAACATAAAAATTCAGCACCATGCACAGAAAAATCCTATATACTGTAGTTATAGACAGGAAAAGAAAATGAGATAGATCTTACATTCTTACATATTCAGTGTTTATTTTTACATTGAAAGCTATTAGTGTTTCTTCCTGATATTTTTTTTGCTGATAATAACAGGGTAAAAATGTTTTATGATGTAAATGATATACTTCTAGCACAGTGTTTTAAAATGAAAATTACCTGTATAAAAGAGACTTTCCTTCATTGTACATAAGCAGCTGGAAATTGGTTTGAATGCATATGCAGCTAGTGGTCACAGTAATTTTCATGGAAGCAGGTTTGCTGTAAGTCTAGGTACTGCTCACTTTAGTTATGCTTTCATAAATGTTGGACAAGAGGAATGAAAAAATGCTACAGTAAATGATGGATAAAATCAAAAGCTAAATGCTTAAGGTGTAGATTTTTAGAATTCTGTAGTCAATTATCTAATAAACTTATGTGTTTTAATGAGATGTGGCTCTTTAATTCCCTTTTAAAAACTGAAGACTCCACCCTAAGCTGGTAATTTTTCAGTCTTCAAGTAATAACAATTATATAAGTTAATACTTCTATTGACATCAATGCAAGGAAAGAGTGTGGGGAAATATTAAGACCGTAGACAAATAAATGTCTTGTATAATTATTCTATTCTTGGAATCTTTCACTGGAGTAAATAGGTTAAGTTTTTCAATGCTAATAGCTAATACAACCTCCATCATAAAGCTTTCTTCATCTGAAATCATTGGGTGATGAAATTTACTCCCCCTGTTTAGCAATGAGAAGCCCCCTGCTAAAAAATGCCTCAGCTGAAGTTGTTTCTTTTTACTCATAAAGTGTAGCTTTTGCATATACAGTTGAGAAGGTGCGGAATATTATAGCCCTTCTGTGTTTAATTGTTTCTGCATGCCCTGGAATTTAAAGAGAATTTAGGATGTGTTTGGCAGTAGCTTCCCCTCTATAATCAGGTTGCTATGGTAAACCTATTATTCTAGACAATGAAAGTATGTTTAGTGAAGTGCTGATCCCTTTTCAGTATAATGTGAGTCTCAAGTTACTTTTGAATGATTGAATTTGTTTGGTAGGTATTGTATCACTATAACTAAGAGAAGGTCACAGAATAAGGTGTGGCTTCTGTTATTTTGGTAGTATATACACTTGACAAAGTAGTAGTATGGCTGAAGCAAGCTTACCCTGCAGAGATCTTATACTGGTTTTCCCAGGGAAGCAATCTGAAATTTATTGTTACAAAATGTTATTAATTTCTGTGTTGATGTATATGGTGATAAAATGAGACTTCAGAGTTTACATTTGCGACATCATGTATGTGTGCTGCATGTACCCTGCATCCTACATAGATATCTGTTCAGAAGCAAAAGGACTTTAATTGTCTGTTAAATTATTTCCACAGAATAACACCACTTTACTTAATCTAATCAAATCTCAGTACTTGTGAGAGTAAAAGGTACTTTAAGCCAATACCAAGTTGCAATTATTTAGTGCCACTACTAAATTAACTTCTTTCATTCCTAGGGCTGATTTTGTCACATTTCTAAAAGAAAAGGGATGATGAACTAATAATTTGACTATCAATTTTGGCAGCAGTGTACTAAACTACTATAACTGTATCTTTGAATATTTAAAACAAGGAAATAACTTGGAGGAATCATTTTCCAGAGTACTTACTGACTGAGGTTTCTGTCCATTTTCAAGACACTTTCAGTTCTGCTGAGGTCTGCAGTCAGATGATCTAAATCATACCCTGAAACTAGGTGGGAGCCAGCTGAAATAAAATATGAGGCACAAATATCAGCATGGAATTTGGGCTTTTTGAATATATGTGTTGGTATTTTATTCATTAGCTCAGATGAGAAGATTGAAAAAGTAGAGCCTAAATCCCTTTGTGCTTGATGGAGAGGACAATCTGAGATTGTACATATATATGACAAAAACGTGCCCCATCTGCCTAGGGATGGGATATTCATCAGCTTTTCTTGCTGGTGTATCTGTTGCACATTAACTAAAATGAATAAATATTAATTGCAGCAGGGACTGAGAGGAACCTGTTCCCATTCCAGTGCAAGTGCCCAGCCACTGGGCTCCCAAGTCATTCTGACTTATTAAATTAAGCATTACAGAAGGTAGTGCTTAATTACAGAACATGCAGGAACCTCATTACAGAACCTTCCTTTGTACCTCTGGAGGATTTTCCATCTCTGCCGACTCCTCTCTTCAAAGCAACTTATTTAAACTGATTTTATTGTCCTTCAGGCATCCTCCTTAGTACAGTGTTAGTTGGCCAGGATACCACTGTTAAGGATGGTTCTTTTGTTTATTTTATAGAGTCTTCACAACAGATGGGTCCTGTTCATCAGGTACCTGTCTGCTTACAGGTGACTGTGCTTTGGGACACTGTGATGTGACATTTTTGTACACGTAGCAAGCTTGTCTGAGGTGTATGCATAGAAAGAGACTGTGAGAGCCCCAAACAGTAACAAGTTGGACTCATTAAAAATCTCCATATATTTAAATACTAAGGAATGATTATTCCCCCCCCCCCCCCCCAGTTTCTAATGTAGCTGTTCTTGGTAAATAATTATAGGTTAGTGAATGCAGGCAAATAACATCAGTCATTCTGCAGACAATCATATCTTAAATGTTGACATGGTTACCAAATACAACTGTGATGTGGTAGATGCATTTCCTATAGTAAGTTTCTTTCTGGAGTGATTATTCTCATATAATTGCCAGTGCAACTGTTTTAAAAAAATATATATTATTAAGGTATCGTGAAGTATTTGCTGTTAATGCTCTCTGTCAGCATGTCTTTTATTAAGATTCTTGCACTTTAAACTGATCATAAAATGTCCTTCTAGATTGAATCCTGGCACATAGAATGTCAGCTCAAAAGTGCATTGTACAAGTACGTTGCTGCTTGGGAACATGAAGAGTAGAGCAGCTATAAAATAAGCTGAGAATTTTTTTCCATAGGTAATAAGATTTCTCCCTACACCAACATAATTAGACTGGAGTGTTTTTTTAGAAAAAAAAACCCAACAGTTCTAACCAGTGTAGATTATTCAAAAGAAAAAGAAGAAAAAAAAAAGAAAAAGGAGAGAGATTAAGAATAATTTAGCAGTATGTGTTGACCTAAAAGGTTTCATTGTCACAAAACCTAGTGTTAGAAAAGCCTTACTAAGGGTCTTCTTAACAGTCGTTTCCCGAGGGGAAATGCTGAGACGAAAGACCAGTGTGTGCAGTTCTGGTGTCCTCAACATAAAAAGGGCATGGAACTGTTGGAACAAGTCCACAGAAGGGCCACGAGGATGATCAGGGGACTGGAGCACCTCCCGTATGAAGATAGGCTGAGGAAGTTGGGGCTGTTCAGGCTGGAGAAGAAAAGGCTGCGTGGAGACCTCACAGCAGCCTTCCAGTATCTGAAGGGGGCCTATAGGGATGCTGGAGAGGGACTCTTCTTTAGGGACTGTAGTGATAGGACAAGGACTAATGGGTTAAAACTTAAACAGGGGAAGTTTACATTGGATGTAAGGAGGAAATTCTTTCCTGTTAGGGTGGTGAGGCACTGGAATAGGTTGCCCAGGGAGGTTGTGTATGCTCCATCCCTGGCAGTGTTCAAGGCCAGGTTGGACGAGGCCTTGGGTGATATGATTTAGCATAAGGTGTCCCTGCCCATGGCAGGGGGGTTGGAACTAGATGATCTTAAGGTCCTTTCCAACCCTAACTATTCTATGATTCTATGACAGAGTATTTGAAGAGTTATGTTTCTCAATGAATAGAAAGTGTCTTGGATAGCCCTGTGCATAGACTATTTAATTCTAATTGCATTCATGTTAGAGTGCCTGCGATGTGCTTAATATTTTAGATCAATTACAGAGGTTAATTGTGCAGTTAAGCATGTGCCATACTCTGTTATGCAAAGTTGAGATATGAAAAACATACAATGCCAATTATTGCTTATTGTTGCTGTTTTCATCAAGATATAACAGTAATATCTTTTGCTTGTTGCCATGGAGAGGGAATAGTTGGTTTTGTTTGTTGATTTTTTTTTTAATAGCATTTATGTGAATGCTTTAATTAATACACAGTGACTTGTAATTTGCTTTTGGGGGGGTGAGGGCGTAGAATAAGTTTGGTTTATTCCTTCAATTATTTTAGTTTACTGAAATCATGACTGTAACAATTATCTATTCTTACAGGGAGATGTGAATGTGGCCAATGCACTTGTTTCCCTCCAGGAGACAACAGAGTTTATGGCAAAAACTGTGAATGTGATGATCGACAGTGTGAAAATGTGGACGGCGATGTCTGTGGAGGTATGTATTCACATAACGTAATATATATAAATCCTGACAATGTATAACTTTGTTCCCTCTGATTTTATAACAGAATGTCACTATAGACTATTGACATCATTGATTAATTATAACAGATTATAGATTTTTGGAGAGAAGCAAGCTCTGTGAAAGCTGAATATGTTAGTGAATATTTGTTTTAAAGCTTCAGAAACACTAACAACGAAGTAGATTAAATACACCTAATAGAAAAATGTAAATTCTATATTAGAACCCAAATTCCATAAGTGTTCATTAGAGGCGAATAGAGGCATGTAAAGGAAAATCTGAAAAATTAGGTAAATTTACTTTGCATTTAGTACAGTTGATGTTTTACTGAGAATATTGTATTTTATCTAAAAATAATAATGACAGCAGTACTTTTCAATGTGTCGTATTCACTGACAGTGATATGTCTGTTTTCTAAAAAACAGTAGTAGTAAAAATTTATTATGAAAGAATCTGAAATGCTTGAGCTACGTTGTCATTGTAATTGTACATGCAGGAGGTTTATTTTAATGTTGACAGTGAAAACCTTATTTTTCGATTTTTTCAGTAATATGTTGCTGTTAAGCAGCATATCAGGTTACTTTTAGATATGTAAATGAGTATATACCATATGGTGTTTTAAAAACAGGTGAGGAGTATTTATCTTAAATGCTCTCTTTCTAGCTTTCACTGGCTTTATTTCAAAAATTACTCTTTAATTCTTAATATTAACAAAATAGTTGGTGTGTAGAATCATAGAATCACAGAATCGTTAGGGTTGGAAAGGACCTTAAGATCTCTATGTAAGGAAAAAGAATATTGCTTCATAATCCTGTGTACATAAAAAAAGTCTGACTAAAGGGAATATTTCTTCAAGGTGTTGGCTATGCAGAATGTAGGAAATATATAGAATCATAGAATAGTTAGGGTTGAAAAGGACCTTAAGATCATCTAGTTCCAACCCCCTTGCCATGGGCAGGGACAACTCACGCTAAATCATATCACCCAAGGCTTTGTCCAACCTGGTCTTGAGCACTGCCAGGGATGGAGCATACACAACCTCCCTGGGCAACCTATTCCAGTTCCTCACCACCCAAGGCTTTGTCCAACCTGGTCTTGAGCACTGCCAGGGATGGAGCATACACAAACTTATTCCAGTGCCTCACCACCCTAACAGGAAAGAATTTCCTCCTTACATCCAATGTAAACTTCCCCTGTTTAAGTTTTAACCCATTATCCCTTGTCCTATCACTACAGTCTCTAATGAAGAGTCCCTCCCCAGCATCCCTATAGGCCCCCTTCAGATACTGGAAGGCTGCTATGAGGTCTCCACGCAGCCTTCTCTTCTCCAGGCTGAACAGCCCCAACTTTCTCAGCCTGTCTTCATAGGGGAGGTGCTCCAGTCCCCTGATCATCCTCGTGGCCCTTCTCTGGACTTGTTCCAACAGTTCCATGCCCTTTTTATGTTGAGGACACCAGAACTGCACACAATACTCCAGGTGAGGTCTCACAAGAGCAGAGTAGAGGGGCAGGATCACCTCCTTTGACCTGCTGGTCACACTCCTTTTGATGCAGCCCAGGATACGGTTGGCTTTCTGGGCTGCAAGCGCACACTGAAGCCGGCTCATGTTCACTTTCTCATTGACCAGCACCCCCAAGTCCTTCTCCACAGGGCTGCTCTGAATCTCTTCTCTGCCCAACCTGTAGCTGTGCCTGGGACTGCCCTGACCCAGGTGTAGGACCTTGCACTTGGCATGGTTAAACTTCATGAGGTTGGCATCAGCCCACCTCACAAGCGTGTCGAGGTCCCTCTGGATGGCATTCCTTCCCTCCAGCGTATCAACTGAACCACACAGCTTGGTGTCATGGAAAATTCTAGTTTGAATGTTGAACCTGCCATGATAATAGTTTGTAACACCTGGTGTATTCAATAATATGAATGTGTATAAAACGAATAATTTGAAATTTAATTTTGCATAAGGGAAATAAAAGCTGATAAAACCACTGAAAAGCTGGGTCCTATTTGTTATAAATTAAGTACTTGGGAACTGAAAAGTCATCATTCTCCATGGTTAAAAATACCTCTCCCATTTATGTCATTCATATTTTTTATTATTTGATGGCATTTTTTTAGTGTTTATATTGCTAATGCTATTGCACATTTTTGAAATTATAAACAAAAATTCTGTTGTTCCTTATTAGAAAGGATACAGAGGCTGGCTGAAGTACCTCACACTTATATGAAGAATCACCTCAACACCTGACCAGTGTCCAACTTATTACTGTTCAGGAGATACTTTTCAGAGATATTACCTGAATAAGGTCTCCCCTTTACTCTAAATAGCTTTGCCCAAAAAGAATGGTAGAAATTAATCAATTATTTTAAACCCCATACACTTTAAGCTTATTTTCATAATTTTGAAACAACTAATAAAAAGGAAAGCCAGCTCATGAACTATATTAGTCTCAGGCTCCATTTTTTTCACTTCCATTCAAGCTGATAGTTTAGTTACTAATGATTCTCTGGAGGTGAAAGGAATTATATGGGAAAATGCATTTCGAGTGACTGTGCCCTGTTTGAAATTTCATTGCGCATCATCTAGTGACAGGACTTCAGAAAGCCCGCCCTTTGATTTTTGCTGGTACAGGGACCCGAGCTTATTCCCAATTCTTTCCCTGAAATTTTAGGATAAGCGCCAAATCAGGAGTCATGTTGTCCTGGGCTTTTTTTTGTGAGTAAGAGGAGAGTAGGAAATGTGGCATATAGTGATTAAAACTACCAAGATCTAAGCTGACCTCTGAAGTGCTTCAAGGAAGACTAGAGCATCTTTGCTTACTTGCAGCTCTCTGAACTTGGTAAGGTGATGCTGGTCTCTAGAGTTTTACTCTTCCCAGTTAGAAGTCATGCCACTACTAATACCGTCCTCTAAAATTATTGGATTTCTGTAGTAGATATGTTGGGATTCCAGTGGCAAATAATTGGCAAATTATTTTTTCATGTTCTTGATATTTTATTTCTTGTGCTATTTCTAAATATAATTTGAAGTATTTTTAATTTATTCTAGATTTGGTTGTAATTTACTCTCTGAAGCATGTTTCTGTGTTCTTATTTTATGTTTCTATTTAATTTCATTCTTTTACAGAATCTTCTCTCTTCTCATGACACAGAAATGCTTCTTGTGCTTGTCTGATTTTCCAGTGGGAAGTGCACTGAGATTCAGATTAACAAATACAGATGTCTTACTAATCATGTGATTCTCTTCCATACACCACTTTTCCTTCTCTTGGCTTTCTTCCCTTTCCTGAAACCTTGTTTTCTTTCACCATCCAGTGTCCGTCTGTATTTCTGAGCTACTTCTCTCGAGACCACCCCTGACCCTAATAACTTAAGGCAGTACCTATTAAGGTATAAGTACTTAGTACAAGAATGTTTATCTTCAGAGAATCCCCATCAGTTCCAGCTTTCTGTTCACTCACCACTTAGTAAGTGAATTTCCCTTACTTCCCGTCACCTTCAAACTTATAATATGAGCCATTTACTCCTTTTGCATTTTCTGCTACTTCATCTTTCACTCTAGCTTCTACCAACATTTTCTTTTAGATGCCTTTTCCCACAGTTTCTGACCAAATGTAGGAATTTCTGCCATTGTTATCCTTTTCAGATTCTCAATAGCCTCTGATGTTACTGATGATAGCTTCAACAATCTCTAGCAATTGCCGGATATTTTGCTTGGCTGTCACTTTGTATCCTGATAATATTTTGAATATTTCCTTTGATATTTCACACATCACTCTTGTTAGGAGATTCTACCAATTTTAACCTTGTTTTCTTTCCTTTTTGCAACTTATCCATTTACAGCACTTCTCTCATTAATTTGGCATACACCTCTCTCTCTCTTCCTTTCAGGTTTATTCATGCTTCCATCTCAGCCTGACCCTCTTGACACCTTTTGCTGAACTGCTTATTCCTTCCTCTTTCCCTCTGTTTTCATTACTATTTTTCTGCCACTGTTGCTATCTAGGCAATCACTGTCAAGCCTTCAGAGGATTGTAAACTGGACTCTGTGAAAGTGCAGGGTCTGACAGTGAGCACTGAGTACCAGTAAACACAAGAAAGGCGGACCAGTGTTTTCAGATCAAATGCATGCTGAAATGAGAAATGTGAATGACAACCTAAATGCTTTTAATAAAAATTGGTACTGGCCTCCTCTGACCAGCAGAGATTGATTAATAGCTTGCTTTCCAGACCAGCTGTCCATGTGACTGTAGGAAGACACGAAGCGAAAGATGTGATAAATTAGGGTACAACTGAGTGAGACCTTATTACCATGTTTCTGCATGATTGTAGTGAGTCATTCACTTAAAAATTCAGCTGTCCATCATTGCAGTACCAGGAATAGAGACACTGCATCTCCACAAAGATAGAGGTTGCAGGAGGACTTGGCATAGATTCCACAGCACTCTGCTATTAGAAATGGATCTACAGAATCATAGAGAGGTTTGGGTTGGAAGGGACCTTAAAGATCATCTAGTTCCGACTCCCATGCAACAGGCAGAGATGCCTTTCACTAGACCAGGTTGTTCAAAGCCCCATCCAACCTGGCCCTGAGCATTTCCAGGGATGGGGCAGTCACAGCTCCTCTGGGCAATCTGCTCCAGTGTCTCACAACCCTTATTGTGAAAAAGTCCTCCTTATGTCCAAGACAAACCTATCCTCTTTAGGTTTAAAACCATTGCCCCTATCTGTCACAACAGGCCTTGGTAAAAAGTCTCTGTCTTTCTTATTAGCTGTCTTTCCTAATATTGAAAGGCTGCGATAAGTTCTCCCCAGAACCTTCTCCAGGCTGACAACCTCAACTCTCTCAACCTTTCTTCACAGGAGAGGTGTTCCAGCCCTCTGACCATCTGGACTTGCTTAAACAAGTCCGTATCTTTCCTGTACTGGGGACTCCAGAACTAGATGCAGTACCCCAGGTTGGGTCTCATGAGAGTGG